ATCTGAGTCCAAGGGCAAATTTACGACATCGATCTCCCTGAACCAGGTCTTGAAACTGTTGTCGTCTCTGAGCTAAGTAGCGCTCTCCCAGAAAACGGCTCCGAAAGCGATCCTTAAAGAAATTCCAGGTCAAACGATCGGTAGGAACACTACTGGTCACTGACTCCCACCAAGTGTAGGCATTGCCATCTAACATCGCCACAACACCCTGATATCTCTTAGTTGAGTCCAAACCCAACTGATCCATGCATCTCTCTGTATCCTGGAGCCAATCCTCAGCTTCAGTAGGAGCTCCACCTATCTGTCCCCCAAAAGTTCTAACTCCATTGGCAATCAAGCGAAATAGGAACCTCAGATACAACACCAGTAGCTCTGACTGCTCCCTGTATTAACTGCAGAAATTGTCTACCAAAATTCTCATCCAAAGCAACTCCGGTAGACTCTGACTCAATATCTGTCGCTCCTATTATCGGTGTAGTCATGCCAATACTAGTGGAAGGAGGCAGATCCGTTGGGGTCGTAGGAGCATGATCACCTATCGGAGGTGGGGGATCTACCCGTATCTCATCGATCGGATCTGCGAATCTAGCCACTCGACCTCGTCCACGGCTAGTTCGTCGACCACGTCTAGCACTCATTTTGATGGATCTCAAGTTTACTACAGAAGATAAAACTTAGGGTTAGATAAGAACTTGGAGTCTCAAACATAGTTAAAATCTTAATAACTTTGTGACATGGCCTTAGTAACTCGTTTTGTAAAATATTTCAAAATCGTATTTTCAATGTGGACTCATACACAGTCCGAGGGTTAAAAACCAAAAGCTCTGATACCAATAAATGTAACCCCCTAGACCCGGCCTATGCGTTTCGACTAAGTCTAGTGGATCACATTATGATTATTAAAGACATTTTCCGAAATCGTTATTCTATCAATATAAAATCACATTATAAATAACATGAAATTATAAACAAATTATACTATCAAAATCCAACTCGTAAATATAGTACCAATAAATAATAATTTAATTTAAAACATGTCTTCAAATTAAAATCACAATAAACCGAGCAGTACTAGCAAAAGAGTCATCATTATAAAATCTGATATTTAAAATAAGGTCCATGTCACCAAAATAAAGTCAACTTGCAAGATAAAACATTACAATCTGATTCACTTCAAGAGATATGTTGATCCTCCAAGTGCTCGAACCGAGGTATCTAACCAACAGTATCTGAAAGGGGGAAAACATTTTCAAAAAGTGAGCTAGGCTCAGTGTGTCCCAACATTTCCATAAAATGTCAATAGGTACAAATCATAGTCCAGTAATCTCACAAATTCGTAAAAGAGTTTAACTTTTGAAAATCATAGTTTAAACCCTTTTCTGGTACACCATCAGTAGTTCTCAAAATTATTTTCCATATAGCTTACTTTATGCACATAGCAAAAAGAAAGCCGACTTAAGGATAGGCTCTGAAGCTTGTATCCTTAAGCCCAAGTCAATAAGTCCATATAGCTTACCCAAAGCACACAGCAAAGGAAAGTCGACCTAATGAAACATTTTGGGGCCCTCAAGAGTCACATTAGGCCCATTTAGCTTGATCAGAGCTATTCCATCGTAATTCAATTCCAAAATTCAATTGCACCGTGACATAAATTCCATAAATCCAAAAACATGGTAATCATATACCATTTCAAAACAAAAATTAGATAGCAGCCATATTCCATAAATTGTCACATTAAATTGGTGCATCCATAAAACAATAACCAAATGAACTCAGTGTGCCTCATATTAAAACCAATAAAACAGTTCAGTAATAATTAGGGAACACACCTCGACAATAGGTTCAAATAACAAATCTACTGATTGCTGGTTTTACCACGCTCTGCTACCGTTTTCGAACGCGTGAATAATAGCACACGTGGTTTAACTGATCTAGAAGAGCTGGGTCGAGTTGTCGAACGATCCGGAGAGTCTTGTACCTTCAAACAATAATAATCTATCAGTCCCAAATCCTATTTAATTGTTCAAAACTAGACTTCTTAAGTATATAAGCATTTTTCGGGTTTGACTATCAATTTGGGGTATTTCGAGTCTGAATTTAGCCAAACAAATTGCGGAATCGGAATCAGGACGTCGAAAAATATAAAGTATGACTTTTTGAAAATTCAGATTCTTGGTCAAAGTCAAAGTCAACTACTTTGACCGTCGATTTGGAGTCCTTCGGGTTCGAATTTGATGAAACGGACAGCGGAAACGGATTTGGCACGTCAAAACTATCAGGATACGTATACTCGGAAAAGATTAACGGTCGTTTAATGCTCGGTCAAAGCCATTTTAAGTTTTGGTCAAAGAAAGTCAACGGTCAACGGTCGGGTCGGGTCAACGGTCGGGTCGGGTCACCGGTCGGGTCGGGTCAGACCGGTCAAACCGGTTCAGACCGGTCAAACCGTTTCGAACCGGTTGAAACCGGTCAAACCGGTTTCCAGTAGCCACTCGCCCTGCGGCGGCGCGTGAGGCGTCCTCCGGGGCCCTAAAAATCCCGGAAAAATTTCTAAAAATTATTTTGAGCGATTTCGAGATACTTACAATGATCAGTTCAAATTTTTGAACGGCGGAGAGCTCGATTTCAAATCGGCCGAATCTTTGACTGCACCACCTCCTCACGCGCCGCTGTCTACGGTAGACAAGGTTGACACCGGTGAACTCGGAACGGCACAAGGAACACGATGGTGCGGGAGGTGTCGTAAATGGAGCAACGATCAGCGGTGAATTTAAGATTTTCTCGGCGATAGAGCTAACAAAACCATCGCTACTTTGACTGGAAATTCCCGACGTTTGGCCGCGTTTCGCTTCAATTAATTTGAAGGTTTGTTCCTCGCTCGATGATGAACACAACGGTGGTTTCAAAACAACGATCGAAATTCGGACGGCGTTTGGATCGGACTTGAAAGTGGAGGTGTGAGAGGAAGAAAATTGAAGGAATAACTTTTGTGATTTCTGATTGTAAATCAGAAATCACGCTTAAATCATCAAGCCTACCGACAGTTTTAGGGGAAATTCAAAGCTTGGTCCCTGAATTTCCTTTACTTCGAAAATGGCATACAAGTTTCCATAAATTTTAATTTAATCACTTAATTTCACCCATTTTTACAATTTACCTCCAATTTCAATTAATATTATTTTGTAAATATTCGGGTTGTTACACGAACTGGACAATAATGCAACACATGTGAATCATTTAAACAAAAACGTAGCAATGAAAGTAAACCATAAAGCCAATTTAGAACACCCTCTTGAAAGAATGGCTGAACAAGACGATCCTACGATCGTTTTACCTGAAGACACAGACCGTTATGGTATCGAACAGGAAACCGAGCAGTAAGTTTTCCAACTCATCGTTACTTTATCATTTATAATTTCGTTCATCTTTTGGAACTGCCAAGGCGCAACTAGTCCGACTTTTTGAAGAATTTTCAACTCGTTAAGGCGAGAAAATCATCTAGATGTCGTAGCTTTATTTGAACCTAGAGTTTGTGGCAACCACGCAGATAATGTAATCTCCAAATTCATATCTACAAATTCTTATCGTGTGGAAGCTCACAGATTTAGTGGTGGTATATGGTTATTTTGGCAAAATTCATTTGAGATAGAAATTCTTCATATCTCGAACCAGTTCATTAATGTAAGATTTCGAACTACTGAAACAAAATCTTGGGCACAATTCACGGCAGTATATGTAAGCACCAAGGTTCGAAAAGAAAGCGATTATGGGATCCACTAACAAAACTAGATCCAAGCTGTTGAAGAATAGGAAAAAGAAAACAAAAAGAACACAAGAACACAATAATTTTAATGAGGTTCGGCAATGTGTTTACGTCATCGGTGCCTAGGCGGCGTTAGAAGTTTTATTCAATGTCTTATAGGTTTAGGTTACATCTCTATTTATAATAAAAAATTTGGTACTTCGCTCACTCCACTCCATCCCCTGTCCTCTTTACTGGTATAAGCAATGACATCCCTTGGATCATAGGTGAAGATTTTAATGCAATAGTTGAACCAGAAGAAAGAAAAGGGAGAGCAACTTAGTCACAAGGAGGTAGTATGCTATTCGCTGAATTTATACATAGAGCAAGGCTGATCGATATGGATTCTAGTTAGATCAATAAGTTTCCAAAATCACAAGTCACATACTTAAATCGTATCGGCTCAGACCATGGACTCATTCTTCTCAAGATTTCTAATCATAAAAAAAGTAATCAAAACAGACCATTTAAATTCCTTGCCACATGCAAGGATCATCCACAATTCAAAGAAATTCTTATAGCCAACTGAAAAGATAATAACTCAGTCACAGCCAGTACTCAAACCCTCAAAATGACATTGGAAAAAATGGAACGTTAAGGTGTTTGGTCACATAGACAAGAGGAAAAAGAACATACTAGCCCTCTAACGGGAATCAAGAAGGCATCATAACAAAATCACTCGATATTTCAGAAGATTTGGAAGCTCAACTTCAATCGGAATTGCTTATCGTATTAGAATAAACAGAGATTATGTGGAGGAAAAAATTGTGCAAGCAATGGGCTCTGCAAGGCAACAAACACACAAAGTTTTACCATGCTTCGACCTTGACTCACAAAAGATCAAACACTATTGCAGCACTAAAACTAACCAATGGTAATTGGTTCACGAATCAAAATGAATTATCAACCATAGCCCGAGAATTCTATATGATTTTTCCTCAATAAACATTAATAGCCACATTTACAAAACAATAGGAAACTTTCGATCGTTGACACAAGAATGACGTAAGACCCTAATCGCACCAATATCCGATAAAAAATACAATCAACTTCTTTCGACATGGGCATATTTAAAGCACCAAGGGTTGATGGGTTACAAGCTGTGTTTTATCAACGCAACTAGGACACAATGGGGGTATCAATATACACATGTATTCATCAGATCTTTAAAAATGGAGTAATCCCACCAAACTTGAACAAAACCCTCCTTGATTTACTGACAAAAACTTCGTCATAAGAAATGATCAGCCAATTCAGTCTAATTACCTTATATAAAGTAAACTACAAAGCATTAACCAAAATCATTGTCAATCGACTCAAACCTCTACTTTGGTCTTCGAGAATCAAACAAGCTTCATACCGAGAAGAGAAGTCACGAACAATATTGTCAATACTTAAGATGTCATTCATTCAATGAAGTGGAAAACATGTAGGAAAGATTGAATGGTTATTAAGACTAATTTAGAGAAAGCTTATGACAAGCTAGAATGAGAATTCATAGACGACACGCTGACAGACACACTGACAGACGTAGGTATCCTTGATCCAATCCATAATATCATTATGCAATGTCTCTATAGTTATAACTTAGGTGGTGTTTGTTTTCACTGTTTAAGATCTTCAAAGCTCTTATGTCTGTGCCGCGCAGACCACGCGCAGACATTGGGCTTCGCAGACTGTTTGTCTTTTAGAAGACATAAGCTCTTCTAACGTGTGCGCGTCCTCGTCTTGGCGCAGACGTGGATTTTTATCTTCAAAGCTCTTCTAACCACTTCAAAGAACCATTTTTGCTATTAATTTTTTAAAAATTATAAAATGTCATTAAATTTAATGAATTATTACAAAATAGTCACTATAATGTTGTAATAAATTATAAAAGTTCGATAATATAATAATTATTTTATAGTATTTAGATAAATTTATTAATAATTTTATAATATTTTAATAAATTTAATAAGTATTTTATAATTTTTTAAACTTTATTGACGAAAATGATCATTTGTATGTAACTCAACGATATCTAATATACTTTATTTGAAAATATATATTAAACTTAGTAAAAATATTTTACAATTAAACTTAGTAAACTTTATTTTTATATAAAAACTTAGAAAATCACGGAGACATACAATTATTAACATTAAAAGACAAAATAAATGTTTTAATAAAAAAATATTCACACTATTGAAAAATCTGATTCTTATCATTTAATTATGGTAAAGTACGAAAGTCCTTTTATACAGAATAAATAAATAAATAAATAACAAATAATATATTTTGTTTAAATATAAAAATACTAATTGATGATTATTATATGGAGTATATATTATATATATTTTTTAGCAGTCTGCAGACGTTTAAAAACAAAAAGTCTTCTTCTTGCAGACTGCAGAACTTTTAGTCTACATCTTCTGCTGCAGATGCCTGCAGATGTGGTCCGCAAAATGCATACCTTTTACCTCTGCAAAAACAAACACCGCCTTAGATTCTATAGAATGGGTCAACAACTGATTCTTTCCAACCTTTCGGAGGAATTTGACAAGGTGTATCTCTTTATTCTCTACACGGAGAAATTAGCCCAAACCATCCAACTCAAAATTAACCAGGACCATTTGAAGTTGTTTAAAATGACAAAACATAACCCAGGTGTTTCCCACCTTTTCTTCGTGGACGACATGATACTATTTGCTGAAGCATCAATGAAACAAGTCTCAAATATCCAAAGCACACTGAAACAGTTCTGTGAGACATAGGGACACAAAGTCAGTCTAACAAATACCACCATTTACTACTCGAAGAACGTCCCACGCAACATTCGGTTACAACTAAATGAAGCTTTCGAATTCTTTGAAGTATCAGATATAGGTAAATACCTGGGAGTCCCGATTCTACATAGCCGTACTATCTCAGCTTTATACGATTACTTAGTTAAAACGGTACAATACATATTGAATGAGTGGACTGCGAAGAATATAACATTGACAGGGAGAATAACACTTACAAAAACAGTACTATCAGCAATCCCAAATTACACAATACAAACAACATTTCTCCTGAAAAATTCATGAACGGACCTGGAATGTCTAACGAAGAATTTTATTTAGAGCAACTCGATGGATGAAAAAGGGTATTCATTTGTTGAGTTGGAATCAAACGTGTACACCCTCCTCATAGGGAGGCCTCAGGTTTAGAAAGTTGCTCACCCAGAACGAAGCTTCATGAAAATGACGTTCAATCTTGTGGCCAAAAAAGACACATTATGGTTTCAATTTCTTTGAGCAAAGTACAAACGCCAAGACATGATCCCAGAAGCAATAAAAAATAGCAACTGCTCTAGGCTTTAGAAGGCAATATGTATGGTTTGAAAAGATGTAAAGGAAAAATCTAATTTGAAACGTGGTTAGTGGGAATTCAGTCGACTTTTGACGAGACCAATGAATCGAAGTAATAGACCCCCTTATTTCGTATGTCCAAGCAAACACAATACCTAACATGCGAAGTGAAACAGTAGTGAAGATGGTGAATAATACGGGTAATTGGTTGTGGAACAAATTTTAGTATTTTCTCCGTATTAATATATTACTACGAGTGGCAATAATCAAGGGTCCTGTGGCCCCACCTACGATGGATTCTATAGGATGACAAGGGAGATAAGATCTCCAATTCACCCTTAAATCAGTTTATGTAATTCGTCATGGCCCACATATTAGAAATGAAGAGACTTTATCGAAAGCTAACCACTGCTTCAAAGGTTTATAGAGAATAAAGATGTTCATGTAGTTAACCTGCAAAATTAGGATTATGACCAATACAGAATGGGTATGGAGACATATCGCCATATACGATAAGTGCCCCATTTACGCAAATACCTCTAAAGACATAAACCACGTACTACGATGGTGCCCCAAGCGATGGGGGTGTGAGCGAAACTCATGAGGACTGAAAAACTAAATGAGTTTATGACCATGAATTTCTGAGCATGGATTTCAGCGAATCTATCTAACCAAGATTGATATGCGATACATACTCAAGATCGGACAATCCTATTCGGTTCTATATTGTGGAATCTATGGCTCTCCATAAATGTCATAGTTTTTAACTCGGCCATTGAAGAAACATGCTCAGTGTTTGAGAGAATTCAAAAATTTCAAAGTCTCTGCTCCAACCCATCCGTGACTCTAAAGAAATAAAAGAAGGAAATTACAATAAAAACCATGGTGGACCAAAGGAATGAACTGATCTGTCAGAAAAACCACTCGTAGGATTACACAAAATTAACTCAGACACTAGTAGAGATCGATCTAATGACAACTCCAAATGCGAAGTGTTAAGTAAGCTAATGTGTGCAGGTCGTTATGGTCGGCTGTTAGTTTGTTATAACTGTTACCAGAGTTGTTAGTAACAATTAGGCTTGAGTTTGTTAGCAGTATGGCTTGAGTTGCGAGCTATATAACAGTGTATGTATGCTCAACCAATAATATTCTCTTCTATTTTCAGAAACTCTTGTTTCTCAACATGGTATCAATCTCCAAAAGTCCTGGTGATCTTTCTTCCGTTGGTGTATTATCGTTTTTTTGATCATGTCATCTCCTCCGACTGCTGGTGAAGTTGAGTCTATTTCGCGCAAAGTTAAAATGTTTAAAAACAAAAAGATTAATGTTGTACTTGATGAGATGAATTTTTTGTTGTGGAAACAACAAGTGCTTCTCATAGTTTGCAATCATCGACTTGAGCGGTTACTTATTGGTGCAATGAAGCCTCCGCCTGAGTTAGTTGCTGCAGATGGTACAAAGGTTCTAAATGAGGATTTGGTTGCTCAGATAGTGCATTGGCGTCTTGGTTGTTGTCAACTATTAGCGCACACTTGCTCTCTCAGTTTGTTGGAGTGGAGATTGCTTCTGCGGTATGGAATATATTATACAATTTTTTGCCGCCAGATCATCAACTGTTGTTATGAACCTTCTTTGTAAACTGCAATCTCTCAAGAAAGGAGAAGATAACATGCGAGTGTATTTGTCTCGAGTTAAAGAAATTTGTGATGCCTTGGCATATTTTGGTAGTTCTATTCCCCCAGTTGGTCAAGTTGCGAGTATATTGAAAGGGCTGCCTCGGGAGTATCAACATTTCATGGTTGTTATAACTACCAGTGGATAATCTATTTCTTTAGATAAGTTGTGTACAATCCTTAATGATGCTGAAACTCAGTTGGTCTGGTTTGCTGCTCATGAGGAGATAGTGCTGACGAGTGCTCATATTGCCTGTGGTGTGGTTCTACTAAATCTGGATCTAATTCTTACTCACACAATCAACGATCTCATCATCCTCATATTTTGGAGGTAGGCTAGTGGAAGAGGTGCTCAAGGATGAGGTCGACTGTGTATGCAGTGTCAACTGTGTGGGAAACCTGGTTACCTTATTGACAGTGTTAACATCGTTATGATGAGGATTTTCACATTCTTTCTACTAATTCTAGTCGTTCTCAGTATGTAGGAGACTAAGCCAATGCTAATAATTTTCTTATGACAAACTTGGTTGTGAGTATTGCTTGAGTAGTTCTCGAAGTCAGTTTGCGGCAGATAGCTCTTCTCATGTCTACTTGTCCTCTGGTTATACTCAGGATCAATGGGTTGTGGATTCTGGAACTACACATCATATGACTCCAAATTCTGGTAGTATTACCCATAGGGTGGAGCATGGTGGTCCAGGTAAGCTCACGGTTGGTGATGGTGTTTCTTTGCATGTCGATATGATTGGTGATGCTACCTTAGTGACACCAACTGGGTCTTTGCTACTAAATGATATGCTTCATGTGCCTAGAATAACACATAATCTTCTCTCAGTGTTCAAGCTTGCTAGGTAAAATGGTGTGTGCTTTAATTTCATGCTCAAGGGTGATGTGTTCGTGATGTTACTACAAAGGAAGTGTTGTTGCATGGACGTGTTGAATGAGGCTTGTATATCTTCTCAAGGGAATATATGCCATATGTTTGTAGAAATGCTTCTGCTAATTCAGTTTTTGTTGTAGATGTGTTCGATCTTTGGCATCGAATATTAGGTCATGACACGTATTTCACTGTGACTACTGTTTGTAAAACGATTAATGTAAAGATTTCTAAGGATATGAATAATATGTGTGAAGCTTGTTGCATTGGAAAAAAATCATAAATTGCCCTTTTCTGATTCACATATTGTTTATGCGGTACCTTTTCAGCTTGATTTTATTGATATTTGGGGACCAACTCATGTTATGTCTAACGGCTATCGCTATTATTTGTATTTGTTTATGCGTATTCTCGGCATTCGTGGGTGTATTTCTTGACAGATAGGTCTCAAGCAGTGACTGTTAAAATATTTCAGCAGATGGTGTTGACTCAATTTGGTGTAGCCATCAAAGCTGTGCAGAGTGACTGGGGTGATGAATATCGAAGCCTTTATTATATTGTAGCTAAGGAAGGTATATCTCATCGGGTAGCTTATCTAGATACATTTAAGCAAAACGGTGTGGTTGAGAGAAAGCATAGACACATTATTGAGCTTGCTTTGGTGTTGTTGGTTCAGGCTACAATGCCTCTACGGTTTTGGTATTATGCTATTGTTACTTTTGTATATCTCATCAATCGGTTGCCAACAAAGGTCTTGGATGGGATGTCTCCTCTAGAGAAGTTGTGGGGAAAGAAACCTAAGTATGAGTTGATGAGATTTTTGGGTGCAAGTAATTTCCATATTTGCGGGTATTTCAAAAACACAAGTTGGAATTTCAGTCTCAGCCATGTACTTTCTTAGGATATAGTCCACAACATAAAGGTTATATGTGTTTAGCTATTGATGGGAAAGTTTATATATCTAAGCATGTGGTATTTGATGAGGCAATCTTCTCGTTTACATGTGGTAATGCCTCTCGTACAACTTCTATGGGTTATGTTCCGAAATCGAGCTGCATTGAGATTGTTGCTGATGTTAACAAGTTGCAAGTTGGCAGTTGTTCTGGCAATGCTGCTATGTCTGTTAAGCCGGTTAATAATAATGTCAGTGATAAGCTGGCACATGGAAGTGTGTCTGAAGTACCTGAGTGTGAGTCCTCAAGCTCGACTTTGGAGGCTACTTTTAATGATGTTGTTGATGTTGGTAATGATGTGGAGCCCTTCACTGAGGTGTTGAATACGAATGGTGATGGATTTTCTGATGCAGGAGTCACTACATCAAAATGGGTTTATAACGATATTTTTAGCGGCATTTTTAGAACAAACGCTGCTAAATACTCATACTTTAGTGGCATTTTTGACAAACGCCGCTAAAGAATCGTACTTTAGTGGCACTTTTATACAAATGCCACCAAAGACTCGTACTTTAGTGGCGTTTTTATACAAACGCCGCTATAGACTCATGCTTTAGTGGAATTTTTTATACAAATGTCGCTATAGACTCATACTTTAGTGGCATTTGTGTTTACAGACGCCGCATGTTTATAGTTTTTAAATGCCACACTCTTTTAACCCTTTTTTCATTTTTCCCACTTCACATATTGTTTTATTCCCTTCGAAAGTTATTGGAAGTGGAGGTGGTGGAGGGAGAGGGAAGAGAGGAAGAGGGATGGCCGCTATGATCGACGGACATCTATTCAACAATATCTCCCTCGGCGGCCGAGGTGGCACGATTAGTTCGTTCTCTTGCTCGAACTTTCTCTATGTTTATTTTTTACTCTAGAAAACTTAGGTTTCTTTCTTTCCTTCTCTTGCACTCTTTTTAAATCATTTCATGACCCTAATTCGGTTCTTAGTTTATTTAATTTCACGTGGCTTTGATATGTTCAGTTTAAACTTTGGAGGAAATCGACCGGCTGTTTCAGTGTTTTTGTTTCTTGTTATTGCTAGGGTTTCTCCTTTTTCTAAAGATTATAAATTTTACTTCCTTTTTATGGTTTTTTTGTTTGTTTTATGTTACTATCTGCTTGATAGATTCTTATGTTTTGATAGAAGGAAACAGAGCATGTCTTTATTAGTAAGTGCGGTTGATTCTTTTGAAACCCTAGTTCATCGAGGTTTTGAAGAAAGCTAGTTTTTTCAGTTCAGGTTTTGTCTAAATGTGTTCATAGAAAGTCTTTCTCGTATGCATTTTAGTGCTGCTGGTAATTGTTACGTTCCTTTTGTTTTTTTTTAGTTGTTCAAGATAGCATACTTTGACCAATGTAAGAATATCTCCACTTTTTTCTCAGTTGCTAAAACCTACCAGATCTGCATTTATTTTATGTGATCTGAAGTGATCAAGATGGGGAAGTTGTCTTTTGAATTCTACTGTGACTTTTGTATGGTTCTTAATGAACCTGTTTGAGTTAATGATATAATTACTTTGAGATATTCTTCTACCCTTGCTTGCAGAAGTTGAAGCCTGGCAGGTACTGGTATGATAAGGATTCTGGAATGTTTTGTAAAGATTTATGGAGTTTAATCTTGGTTCGAACTAGAAATTCCGATTTCACTATCCCTTAAATATGAGAATATTACTAACCATACTCAATTCCATGTGTTCTACATATAATGATGCATATACTTAGTGACATGCAAATTTGGGCAGAGTGAATATTGTTGTTCACGCCTTAGCTCTCTGCTGTAATGGATGTTCTCTGACTAATTAATGCTATGTAGTGTTTTACATTTTTTGTTAGTCTTGAGAAAGATGTGTCTAAACATCCCTTTTCTGGTCGTTAGAAATTTAAGGCAGTTTTGCTATTAAGAGCAAAACCTTAAGGTCGCAACAACTTGACTGTTATAAACTGCAACATGCTTTTGCTTCTTCTTTCTGCTTCTTTACAGAAACTTGTACCTTAACTAAAGGACTGAACTTGAACTAGGCAAGCCTGTGATTATTGTCTTATATAGGGTGAACGACAGCATTGCATTTCTTTAGTGCATTATTTCTCTAGTCTTTAAAGGATGACTCCTCATTCTGATGGGTGCAGTTGGTTCTTCTCTTTTCAGCAGACACGCTACTTTGTATAAAGATTTTGGTTCGATTTTTACTTTAATTTTATTTTAGGTGGCAAAGGTGCAATGCCCCAGGGATACTCATTTCTGGGTATACGAAGATGGATCTTATGAGGAAGAAGGTCAAAATAGCATCAAGGGAAAGATATGGGAAAAGGTTCTCTTGTAATCTTTACATTAAATATAAGTTCTAGAATCAGTCAATGGTTGAATTGATTTTTTTATTCAGTAGAGTTTGATTTTTGGTAGGCAGGCTTTTACTCGTTTCTGTTGTTCATTGTTTTCGCTGCCTGTACCACCTGCAAATCCTCATGTGCTACAAGAAGAACCAACTACCTTTTCAGAGAGGACAGTGCCTGAGTATCTGGGTAGGGAAGGGTACAGAAGTTGCTGTTGTTGGGTTGGAAGGATCTGGTACCAGCACCATCTTCAAGCAGACATGGTTTTCGTTTTGAAATGTTTTTACTGCATGCATGTTACTTTCATTTCCCCTGCTTCTAGACCGTTCATTCGTTTATAATTCCATTATATTAGCCTAGCTTTCTTCTTATGATTTGGTAAAATACTTATTGTCGTTTGTCGTTTGTCGTCTACCCATCCATCTGATATTTCCTTTATATTTGTTATGGTATGTTCTTTCTGTGTGTGTCAACCTTTCTTATGCCATAATGATTTTTTTAATACATTTTCTTTTAATCCATTGAACAGGCAAAGTTTTTATATGGAAATGGGTTCTCTCCAGACGAGATGTAGAGCGTTAAGCATATGATTCAAAGTAACATGTACAAGTATCTTATTGTATTACTTGAAGGACAAGAGAGATTTGAAGAAGAAGCTTTATTGGAGTTGAGAACTAATAATTCCGATGCTGAAAATTCTCTATAATATTATAAATTAACAATGTGAGCTACATTATATTTGTAAGACCTCAACCCGTACCACCCGAATACGAGTTCGAGGTGTCACATTGACTTTTCAAAACTTTTACTTTTCCAAAAGAATGAATTTGCTAACTTTTAATCCAAAAATATAATTTACACAAATATTCAAATTAAAGAGTTTACAAAACTTATCAGAGCTTATACAATTTACTCTTTTAAATACATGCCAACTAGATTTTATATAATAAAATACATATTATTCATTTTACGTCTAATATGACCTTTGGTAAGGAGAACTGATCTATCTTGCTTCACATCGATCCATAAACTCATCGAAACCTACGTGTGAAACACTCACACGCTAAGTCATTGACTTAGTGAGACATGTAAATATATAATGTAAACTATAACTAATTAATAAAAGCATGTACATATCATGTAACCAATACTTGTCTACATACATAAATCATCATCTATATACTTATCATTACTTACTTTATTAACACTAATTCATTTTCATCATATGAGTATATACTTGACATAAACATATAATGTAAACTCTAAATCATAACAATGCATAAACCATTACTAATATCATATCATACACAAACACATCTCATATAACACATACACATATGTACTTATTTTATTATCCTCATCCTTATTATCATATGGTCTTGAACTTATCATTTATACATATCATATAACACAGATACCATTTCACAAAGGAACACACATAATATCATAGCAAGTTATTTATTATCTTTAAAGCCCATGTATACTTCTGAGAACTTAAGGTATGTGAGTCCATAGAGGTTGTGCACAATGCTGTCACCACAGCTAATATAAATCCCACTAGAGGCGCGTTGAATTTGTCCCGAAGGACCACATATAACACATATGTCCCGAAGGACCACGTAGAACCCTCGACTCTGGGCATGCCAACTATACCTCTAGCTCTCATAACACATAATATGAGCATTATTGTTTATGTTATCACACTTTCACATATTCATATCATGTACACATATAAGCTCATGGCTTCTTATCATATATATCTTGTAATACTCACATGGAGTCTCATATCTTCTTATCATATATCTCATATCACATGGCTTATATCTTGTTCTCATATATTCTCATGAACACATAAACACATAGATACTCATTACAAAGCTCATGCCACCTTTTCACATATTTCATTAGTTTAATATCCCATAACTTATATCATATATCACAAGTTCTAGTGTTTATATAACATATTATCACGTAGTTCATGTCATTTCTCATAAAACTCATTACATCATGTAGCACATATAGTTCATATCATATGGTTCATATCTTTTCATTTATCTTATGTTTTATCCTTCTGTATTCCTATAAATCACATACATGTAATACATACAAGGCATATTCACACATACACGTATTCACACAGATCACATATATAATTTCACTTACCTCTAAACATATGCATGAACTCAGATACATTGAAGTATCATATCCCTATATACTTATATTCACATACGTATGTAACCTAATATCATAATTAGACTTATCACAAGTCTTAATTCCATAGCATAACTTACACTTATTATCAAGTACTCACCTGGGTTTCAATGGACACTACCAAGCTCTTGTTCTCTCTTGCGAATTTTACTCTGACGACCTATCAGAATTTTACTTCCGATCGATATCTACACGAATACGAAATTTAATGAATGTCGATATTCGAATTACTTGATATGATTCATTTTAATGCAAACCAAATAAAACTCTAATTCCAACTTTTCAAACTTAAGTAGTATCGGTACTACCCTTAGGGTACCGATACCTCTATGCTAGGGTACTGATACCCTACTCAGGTACCGATACCAAAATTAGCTTTGAAGTTCCCGGGTATCGATACCCTCCACATAGGTATCGATACCTCCTTCATATGATATCGATATTGTTCATACAGGTATCGATACCCCATGCATCAATTCCTCATAAATTGCCTTGTAGTATCGGTACCCACTCAACAGGTACGATACCCGTAGCCCAAATTTTCCTTTTTAAGCCCAAAAATTCACTCTTATTCACCCAAACATTTCATACTTTAACCCATTTATATTCTTAACTCAAATATACATACTTAAATCCACTTATACTCATTTAACACATCTTTACCTTCAAAATTCTATCCTCTACATGAAATTCAAGAATCATACCAAATTTTCAATGTGTTCTAAACTCATTTCTAATACTTTAGACTTTTAATCCTTCTTATGTCAATCAAAACTCTAAAAACCACCATATCAAGAATTCATCTTAAAACTCATTTTACAAATCCCTTTCTAATTCACTAATCTTATTGTTTTAAGCTTATATAAGATTCCTTAAGCTTATATAAAATACTCCAACCCAATTAAATTCAAGAAATTACCTTTGTAGCTAGAGCAACGGGAGGAAGAAGGAAGAAGGAAAAAGAAAGAAAGGTTCTCGATAATTCTCCCCCTTTTCACTTGTAAATCTCTTATTAAAAGGGATAAAAATATCTTTTAAACTGAATTTATCATAATGCCGTCGACTCTTTCCATAATTATTATTTAATCTCATACTATATATTCATACTTAAGTCCTTGAACTTATAAATTTTCTTAAATGGGTCATTAAATTTCAAAAACTTCTATTTTAGTCACTAACATGGTTTTTGGGATGTTACAAATCTCCCTCATTTAAGAAATTTCGTCCTCGAATTTTCACTGCACAAATCAATAAGTAAACTGCCTATACATATCCTCTAATATTCTCAAATCGTTTCTCTTACTTTCTCTTTCCTATTTACCGCTATTAGACTTACCTTTTCATTTACTCAATTCTTCATCTACATTCGTTCTTATAGATCTATATAATGTTACTCATCATATATACATTAATTCCAATCCTTATCATTCATGATCATGATTCAATTGATTCATTTCGTTCTTTCCTAATTGATTTGTCCCAAACCAAATCTTTCTCCTGTTATTATTAAAAAATAACACGCTTTTCCTAGCCAACTTGATCAAAAGAATATAATCATTCGACTAGATTTAAACTTCCTTAATATGTATAACTAAATTCTTATCTCTATGATAACGTCCAATTGACCGAGAAACACAACCTTAAATCTTCATCAAATATGATTAAACATATACTTTATGAAATCAAACAATCTTTTCACATCACCTTGCACACTTTTCTTACTTCTATATCGAACTTATCATCTACACTTCCATATAACCTTTGTCATACTTAATCATTTAATTCCCTTTTTTCATTTAATTTCCTTATCCCTTTATACCTCCACAAATCAAGATCTCTTTTAACATAGATCATATCTTTTCTTTAGTCTTTCATACTCTTTTCATATCACTTATACTTATCCATGATTATCAATCTTTATCGCATTCTCATAACTCTGATAGTTAACACTACTTGCACAAATCTTATTCTCTGAAAAATC